TAGAATTCATATCGGTTTTTTATTAAAAGATAAAGAACATCACAGACATGTACAATCAAGGGAGGCTAGATCTATTTTACCAATTCTACTAGTCCATTTTTAACTTTGCACGTTAGTATTTATAAAATAATATTTAATAGTTGGATTCCAAATTTTATATTTGTACCTATTTAGAAAATTTATTAAAACAAATATACTATTTAAACAAAAACTATTGAATTCAATACAACACATGTTTTGTGGGGTTTGATTACAAATTTTAATCTCCACGCACTTCAATTTTGGCTTAACAGGCGCTTGTCACATTATATAGTGTTATAAACAGAATTTAAACTCTTTTAATATATTCTATGGTATCCAGCTTATAGGGGACACTTTTATTTTTAATTTGTTGAAAGGAGAGATATACTGATAAATTTGGAGATAATTAACTTATACATATCCCATTTTATTCTTAATAATTTTTTTTAATCAGATAAATATTATAACATGATTGAAATCACGAGTTCTAAAGTATTATTATTATATTTATTATATATGTTTCAAAAGTTTCATTTCCTTTTTTAAAGCTCTTAAGGAATTCGACCTATTACGTTCTATTCCTATTCTTTTCCAAATTACAAAAATCCTTTAAATTTAGTGAAATTCGGAAACGTTCTAATACATTGCGTCCCGATTTCGAATACATCCCTCAATGTCTTGATATATTGCGTTTCGATTTCGATTACATCACTCAACGTCCCAATACATCACGTAAAGCAGGGGAGGACCCACATGGTCTCCAGGGGTACATCCGAATCCCCTGAGTAAAAAATTACACTATAAAAGGTAAATTTTCTAAATTTACGTAGATATAATAATTTTGAACCCCCTCATGAACAAGAAGTTGTAGTGTAGTGGTAGAACTTCTTTTAGATGACCCTCACGGTTCAGGGTTCAAATCCCATTATACACTAAACTTTCACTTCTTTTTTTTAAAAGAGTTGATTTAAACCCAGAAAAATCCAAGCGTGCTAAAATATATCTGCTAACGGAACTAACTTTTTGTACTTATAAACTATTATATTTTATTGACTTATTCACATGTTTATATTTTTATTTTTCGAACCCCTGAATGAAATTTTGAATCTTGCCACTATGTAAAGTGATATGTCCGACCGATAAATCGTGTAAGTGATGTATCTGACCGATACATCGCGTAAAGTGATGTATCAGAGAATAGGAGAGAGTTGAAATTTTTGTAATTTTTTCAAACTTAGAAAATATAATAAAATAAGTTATTTATTTAGATATTTTTTCCAAAATTAAAACGCTATAATATACCAAGTACATGTGAGCATCCCCCCCCCCTCCCCCCCCCCCCCCCGGTTTTTGGCCCAGGGGAGAGTACTTACCTTAATTTAAAGTGATGGCAAGACTTTAAAAAAATTCAAGTGATGAACCCCTTTTAGCTACATGTGCTTATCGATCCTAGGGACGCTTAGGGGGTAAAAGGCATTAATTGGATGGACTATCTTAACTATTATACGTGTCTCAATTTATATAACATAATTCAAAGTTTAAAAATCAATTTTTTTAATTTTAATTGTAAATTTAGATATACAATTTATATATTTTTGGAAACTATGTAAAAAATGCTTATGTTTACTTTTACTCTATTAGTCAATTTTGTTTTTCGAAAGTCAAATCGCATGAACTTTGACTAATATTTTAAAATGTATTATTATCATATTAATATGAGAAATATTATAACTGATACTCGGGAGGGAGCCAATATATTCTTAGGGTGTTCATTCGAACCCCGTTCGACGGAAAATATTAAATGAAAAGACAGCAAAGCAAGTGGAGTATGCCTGCCTCTATAATAGAGTTCTATATAAGGAGAGGACTTTAGCTTTAAGAGGAGAGTGAGAGAACAAACTAAGCTGGTCTAAACTAAAAGCTTAATTTGCTAAAGCATGGCTTCTAAACCTGGCATTCTCACTGAATGGCCATGGACTTGCCTTGGAAACTTCAAGGTACTATACTATACTTTTTTTTTCCCCTTATAATATATACATTTTTGCACTTAATTAAACATCATGAAGTTCTAATTAATTATATTTTTATTTCTTGAAATGAATTAGTACTTGGTATTGGCACCATTTGTGTGTCATAGCACATACACATATTTTATGAGCAAAGATGAAAGGCAGAGAGACATTGTATACATAATCATTCTCCCACTTTTACTATCGAGAATCATTCACAACCAGATATGGATATCTCTATCCCGATACAGAACTGCAAAGGGTAATAATCGAATTGTTGATAAGAGCATCGAGTTTGATCAAGTTGACAGAGAGAGCAACTGGTACGTACTTTCTATAATTTGAATTCAAGAAAATGATTTTTTTTGTTTTAGTTTCTAGAGAAAGTAAATATTGGTGTGATTGATAAGATCGAAGTCATTTTTTTATGTTTGTTTAAGAGAAAAGTTTGTTTTTCTAGAAATAGGGAAATATGACTTATCTTTCGTTGCAATATTTTAACTTAATTTCATAGTTCATAACTTCATTTACTTGCTACGTTTTACATTACATACATTTTTTCCAAAAGATATTTCACTCACCAATCAAATATTTTAAAAATACTTCTCAACGAAAAATATTTTCCTCATGAAATAACTTCAATTAAACCAAGAGATTTTATTTTTTTTGGAAAGGTTTAGTCTGAGTATAAGCCTTAATTTAGTCATACAATCCGGAATTTCTTACTTGGTAGGTGAAAACCTAAACCATGTAGGAGTATTTATATTAGGTTCTCTTGGTCTGTACCAACAAAAGGAAAAAAATAGAAAAAAATAAAATAAAATAAAATGCAAATTACAGTATTAATTAAGCTAACTTTTTGGACCTAGATTATGGATCAAATTTTAAAAAATTATTTTTAAATATCTATTTAGTCATGATATTTGATAAAATTTTGAAAATCTGATCTTCAGATATTTTTAACTTTTGAAAATAGGCACTCTAGTTTTGTTTTTTTGGACTTCTTACAAAATTTTAAATACATATTTTCCGACTAAAATACATACCCAACACAACTTACGCTAAAAGGTTGACTTATAATTAATGTTAAATTATATTTGTAGGGATGATCAAATCATATTTAATGGACTGTTATACTATATTGGATACCTGATGCTGGAACAAGCTCATCACATGCCTGTGTGGAGAACTGATGGGATCATTATAATTGGCTTGCTTCATAGTGGTCCTGTCGAGTTCCTTTATTATTGGCTTCATAGAGCTCTGCATCATCATTTTCTCTACTCTCGTTATCATTCTCATCATCACTCCTCTATTGCTACTGAGCCCATCACTTGTAAGTTCATTATCTTAAAATATGCTAATTCTATTAAGAGATGGTGGTTAAAAAACACATTTAAACTGCCATTTTTTCCCAAGTAATTTCACATTTCAAAACTATCGGTTGTTCTTTTTATCTGCTTGAACTATCACCATGACGAATCCATATTTACTAGAAGATGCACCACTTAAAAATATATATATATATATATATATATATATATATAATTTTTTTTTTTTTAGTGGGAGTTGCTCCCCAGTCATTTAGGTGTGCACTGTCTAATTTTCTTGTAGCATAGGTACCACCAGATAATATTATACTAATTTTAGAATATATATACATACATAAAATGTCTAGCTTTACTAAGAGATAATGGGTTCACGTGCCCCAATTTTAGCCTATAAATTCGCCCATGATTTGCTCCTTTTTCCTATCTGAAGTTTGAACAATGATGTCAGTTTAGGTGAAAAAGGGATCAACTGATAGTTGAGATATGAAACTCGCGAAAAACGATAGATCAGATGTGTTTTTAACCATTGACTATTTTATTAAATTTATCTATTCGTGAGGACTCATTGTACATTTTTTTTGTTGGTGGTATTTTTGCAGCTGTGATTCATCCATTTGCTGAGCATTTATCATATTTCACACTCTTTTCCATACCCTTGTTCACAACTGTATTCACTGGGACTGCTTCTATAGCTTCATTTGGTGCTTATGTTACCTATATAGATTTCATGAACAACATGGGCCATTGCAATTTTGAGCTAATTCCTAAGTGGATCTTCTCTATATTTCCCCCTCTCAAGTACTTCATGTATACGCCCTCGTAAGTCTTCTCTATCGCCCTTTATTTCAATAAGCTTAATTTTACTCAAAATAATCTACGCCTGGTAAAAATGGTAACTAACCAAAATAAAGCGCATCTTAAAAGCCAAAAGGTTCAAATGCAGAGTCCCTACTTCTGAATCACAATATTTACATGCCTAACTACCTCATTAACTAGGGGGCCGGACCATATAGTACATTTTATATCTTAGAAAGTTTTTAACCACAAAAAGATTATATATACTCCACACAGAGTTTTTAACCGCTTTCAAAACTTTACTCTCCTTGTCTTAATTAACATGATGTTATTTGACTTGACACAGAGTTTAAGAAAGAAAGAAAATCAGTTTAAGATTTGGTTTAATCTTTGGCCTCTAAAATAAACATTTTGATGGTACAGGTACCACTCACTACATCACACTCAATTCAGGACAAATTATTCTCTTTTCATGCCAATGTATGACTATATCTACGATACATTGGACAAGTCCTCAGACACATTGTATGAGAAGTCACTTAAAAGAGAAGCTGAAGTGCCTGATGTGGTGCACCTAACACATCTAACGACTCCAGAATCCATTTACCACCTTCGACTAGGATTTGCATCGTTGGCCTCGAACCCTCACACCTCTAGGTGGTATTTTTGGTTAATGTGGCCCGTCACACTATGGTCAATAATGATTACTTGGATTTATGGTCGTACATTTGTTGTTGAGAGAAATATGTTCAAGAATATCAAATTACAAACTTGGGCTATCCCAAAGTATCGCGTACAAGTATGTAATCTATATTATTCAAGATTGTTATTATAATTTGTTAAAGATTATCTGATATGATTCTTGATTTTGTTGTAGTACTTTATGAAATGGCAAAGAGAGACTATCAACAACTTGATTGAGGAATCCATTATGGAAGCAGATCAGAAAGGCATAAGAGTTTTGAGCCTTGGACTCTTAAATCAGGCAAGTCCAGAGTATATGTGCTATTTTTTATTTGTTTTTACAAATTGCTTTGAAATGTTTGCCCAGGGTCTATCAGAAACAACCTCTCTATCTCCTCTGCACCCTATTGATATATACTTATACAAAAATTTAACCTTATAGGAAGAGAAGTTGAATAGTAATGGTGAACTTTACCTAAAAAGGCATCCTCAGTTGAAAGTGAAGGTGGTTGATGGAAGTAGCCTAGCTGTCGCCGCGGTTCTCAACTCCATTCCTAAAGGAACTTCTCATGTTGTCCTTCGAGGTCGTTTGTCCAAAGTTGCTTACTCCATTGCCCTTGCCTTGTGCCAAAGAGGAATTCAGGTATATTTGATTATATTTTTGGTTTTCCATTGTCTCGTTCATTATTGTGTACTAATTTTCTTTTTTTAATATACATAGGTTGCCACGTTACACGAAGAAGAGTACAAGAGACTTAATGCAAAGCTTACCCGTGAAGCTGCAACTAATTTGGTCCTGTCGAAATCTTATGTTTCAAAGGTACGTATTCAACCAAAGCAACATCGAAATATATATACTGTCCTGATCAAATCTTGATTATTCATAACAAAATCGCGAAAAAAGTTGTTGATTGAGACATTATACTATAGACATGGCTAGTAGGGGATGGATTGAGTGAAGATGAACAATTGAAAGCGCCAAAAGGAACATTATTCATTCCTTATTCACAATTCCCACCAAGAAAAGCTCGCAAGGATTGCTTCTACTTCAACACACCAGCTATGATTACTCCTAAACATCTAGAAAATGTAGACTCTTGTGAGGTAATTAGAAAAATAATATTAATTTTTCGATGGTATTATTCGATATTGTTTAATAATAATAACATTATTATACAATAATAATTGTAGAATTGGCTTCCAAGAAGAGTGATGAGTGCATGGAGAATAGCTGGGATTTTGCATGCATTGGAAGGTTGGAATGAGAATGAGTGTGGTGACATGATGTTTGATATTGACAAAGTATGGAAAGCCAGTGTTGATCATGGTTTTCGCCCGTTAACATTAGTGACTACTTCTACGGATCAATCCAAGAACTAGAAGTATGGATTAATGTCTTTGTTATAAGTATTATATATTGGATCAGCTAATTAATTACAAGTTTGCATTACGTGATATAATTTCCAGAGTTGTGTATGCATCATATAATTAAGATGTAATATGAACCAAATTGGAGCATATTGAACGATGATTTATATATATATATATATATAACCCATAATCACTTTTTTTAAAATTATTTAATTTGTATTAAGTGTTAATGAGCTTCAGACTAAGTTTATCAAGAGGGTTGTCAATGATTTGTTAAATACTTGTTAATAAATTTTCTCAAGTTTTCTTTGAATATGGATAAGCAATTTGCACACTGGAAGCAATTATGACAAATAGTTAAGAGTATCACAAATTATATAACAGTCAATGTAGGTGGACACAGTTTCTAAACTGTATACTAATGAAGTTTCCTAGAGCTGGGAGGGTCACAACTTCTTTACTTGAAATTAGGCATTTCCATGGTATGTCCGAAATTGATCTTGACAAGTCATTGTATATTTGAAGTCATGACAAGTCTACAATTTCAGTAACACACAAAAAAAAAGTCTTTAGTTTGACTTGTCAAGTATGCAACTATATTTTAAAATGTCTGAAGCTGACATTGACAAGTGATACTAAACTTCAGCCAAAAATGTCTAATGTTTGGCTTCGTCAAGTCCACACTTTAAGCAAAAAATATCTAAAATTGGTCTTAACAAGCCATATCAAACTTTAGACAAAAACGTCTAAGGATAGCCTTAAATTCATAAGGCCACACTTCAAACAAAAGAGTCTGAAGTTTGTCAAACTTCATACATGAATTTCGCTATTTCAATCGTGAATGTCTCGTGCCTGAAGTAAACTCATAAGTTTTTTTTTTTAAAAGTTTGGATACAAATTAAATAGGGAAACTTACATAGATATGCGATCTTTCAAAAATATTACTATCTATAGCAATAAGATTTCTCGTCACTTAACATTTAAGTATAATACAGATTATAGAGAATAAATTTATAAAAAATCACATATAATACAAATTTTATTGATGGTTAATACATTTATCATATACTTATGAGTTATAGTATATCGTGTTAACAGGCAACCACGGAAGGATGACCCACGGAAGTCTACTGATGACTGGGCTACTATCCATGAAAAGCCCAATTCTTTATTTTATATTACTTGTCCTTATTGGATCGACGCATCTTTTTTAAAGTATTAATTAAATATATATTTTACTAAATTAATTTATTAATAATATTTTAAAATTTAAAATTTAATTATTACTATTTTATGTAGTTATTTAATGCTGCTACTAATAATTCTAAAATTTTCTTAGATTTACTAAAATAGAAAAGTAAAATGAAATATTTCTTTTTAATATAGGAGCCAAAGTAAAATAAAATAAAGAGTATAACGCAACAAACTCAATGATCACAATGCTACTCCCTCGAACCACTTTACTTATCATCCTTAATAAAAATAGGCAATTCATAATATATGTCATTTAAGAAATCAGGACATGATTAGTTGTTTGTTTTCATCTTTACCTTTAGTCATAAACTAGTGAATTTGTCTGCGCGTGCGGTGTAATAAATATAGTTAAATTTAGTATACCCTCTTTTTATGAAAATAAAATAAACTATAAACGATATATATTTAGGTTAATTAGTAAATGTGAATTATTTAAAAGATATATTATGAAATATGTAGTGTATGAGCATTTTTATTACGTTTACCTTTGATTCCTTTCTTAATTGTTTGCTGTAAAATCTAGTGAGCCAGAAAGATGTGAATGAACTTACATCATTACACCTGCATAAACAATTTTCTTACATTTTAAAAAAAAAATACCAAATGGGCTCTACAATACTTGATTTGAATTATTCAAACTTCAATATAGGTATCAAACAAAAAAAAACATAGAAATTACCAAAAGACAAAGAAAACGAAAAAAAAGTAATAACCACGCTAAATTTCCAATAAAATAAAATAAAAATATCCTTTTTCTTTTGCCGGTAAAAGGTTCTACATCACTCTTCCATGAACGAATTTTATGCAAATTATAATCATTAATGAATTTACCAAATAAAATTCGTGTTATAACAAAATGAATTTATTCATCAAATTATTCTAGAATTAAAAAAATAATATTTTATTTATAATTTTTTTGTTATATAATACTACACTTAATATTGATAAATTTGTGAAGTATAATGTCTTCAAATTTTAGACTTCAAATCTTTACTAATATTTTTTAAATGTGTTCAATCATATCTTTTATTTATTTTGTTATATAATGCTATATATAAAGTATTTATCAATTTTGTAAAGTATATTTTGTGAAAATTGTAACGACTTGACTTCGTCGTTAGGAAACATTGGAGAAAGAACTGGGGCCAGAAAACTTTTTGGTAGTAACTTGAAATTTTCTAACCTAATCCAAATTTGGATGAAATCGGAGTCAGTAAGGTCTAAGGAAATTATGATAATGAATGAGAGATCTAATTATGATTTTGATTACATGAGTAGCTAGATAAGTCGTTAAGGAATCCGTACGACTTTACGGAATTGAATTCGGTTTAGAACTCCCGGAATCGATCTTAGTGTGAACGGTATTTTCTGAGCGTCGTTGGTCAAAGGTGTGTTGTGAAATAGGGGTCTTGGAATTATTAAAATAGCTCACTGGTTCCGTGCAAGCCGCTGGGACGAGATTTTTGCCGCCAGAACGGGGCCGCTGTGGTGGGACAAGCGCGACTTAAGTAGGAAATAAAACCCCAAAAACGTTTTATTTTGCACTTTTTGACTTTCAGGGCGAGGAGACGACCCTAGGAGAGTTCTTGAACGTTTTTCACCATTCTTGAGGCTAAAGGTAAGGATTTTACTCCCCAAATCCATGTTTCGATCCGTAGAATGTAAATTCATGAGTAATTATTGGTGGCGGAGGGTTTTGATCTGGAATTTATGGTGGAAAAATCCCTAGTCTGGGTATAGGGATCAAGGGTTTGGTCTAGGGTTATTGAGTTTGTTATAATCCAGATAATTAGACCTTTGATTGTTGATCCTTGCATATAAATTGTTGTTTGTAGACCTAGAACAAACAGAAAGAATCCGGAAAGGGTAGATTCAAGTGCCTTAGGGGATTCAAGCTTGGATTCGAGGTAGGTGATGATTGTGATTTCATGTTGGTGTGATATATGTTTGTAATTACTTCATTATAATGCATGTATGTATGCGAATGTTGCATTATTGATCACCTTAATCGTAAATGAGGATAGTTGAATAATTGTATGCCATGAATCACCTCTTGTTGTATGATTGTCAGAACATACATTGTGATTGTGATTGTGGTTTGTTGAATGGATCGGTTGCCACATTCCGGCATAAAAAATAGGATCGGTTGCCACATTCCAGCATAAACATGGGATCGGTTGCAACGTTTCGGGATAAACATGGGATCGACTGCCACGTTTCGGCACACTAACTTGGATCGGGTACCATGAACTGGTATGTTAACTGTTTAGGTTTGGGTTCCATGAGAGGACTATTGAATTGAGTTCCGTGAGAGGACCATTGAATTGTGTCGTGTATCTACTTGTGATGATTACGTTCATATCTAATGATAGTTGATATTGGAAGACTGTATGTTGCTCTAAAAGGATAATTGTATCTCTTGAGACTTGTGAAATTGTGCGTTATTGGTAAGAGATGACTAATATTGTACATGTTCGGTATATGCTTGTTTTATAATGTTGTGGTTACTTGCATGTGTTTCACTTATTGGGATAGCCGCG